TGTGTGTGTGTGTGTGTGTGTGTGTGTGTGTGTGTGTGTGTGTGTGTAAAAGCACATTCTTCACACTCCCTTTTTATTGAGTGGCTGCTCTGCAGGACAGCATTCCTGCAGTCCATTATTCCTGCTCTCCTATGCTATGCTGAATATGCACAGGTGGCTAACAGAGCCCCTTCCTAAGAGCTAAGAATGCAGGAAAGAGAGGAAAATGAGCGATCCATTTTTTTTTCCAACAAATGAAACAAATGTTTGGCATTCCAATGGCACTGCTCTGCTGTAGACCTGTCTGTTAGCAGATGGCAGCACGCCAGGGCTCGTTTGCAACAGATTGGACACCGACTTCACAGAAAAAGAACAAAGTGACTTTGCACTTAAGCCTTGGCACTGTTTTTCCTGGTGAAGCCTTTGGGACATTGTGTGCTGACAAAAGAGCAGAACTGGTCCAGTTGTCACACATCTTAACAAGTTCAGAGGCAACTGACTAGCAAAAGTATAACAAGTACCTGCAGAATGGGGTTCAGGATTGTCTTGCTGGAATAAGAAATAAATTCCATGAAACAGAGGAGCATAACCTTGCTAAAATATTAATTTTTGTTAGTGCAATGCAAATGTATAAATTGCTTCTGCTTTCTTCTTTAACTTGGTGTTTGCTGCATCCACACTTCTGCATCTGCGACACAAACCAGAGTTTTAACCGGTTTAGTTATCAATAAAAAGGTCTAAAAGTAAGTTTTCCACTTTGTGTCAGTTCATTTTAAAAAAGCCTGAATGCAGGAAATATTTTCTTTCTGAACCTTCATTACATTTCTTTTATATGTGCAGTAAAGTTTTGATGTGTTGTAGTTTTGTTGGTTTTCAATGTACATAAAAACCATGTAAGTTTTTGCCCTTTCTGTTAACATCTTTGGCATATTGTACTTACAATTTTATTTACACTGTAAAACATTTAAAAGGATTAAACTTCAACTGTTAGACTTTTACACTTTTGAACTTTCACAGAAAGAAAAACAAAGTAGCTTAAACTGTCCTGCAGACCTGCCGCTTTTCAGTCTTTTCAGTGATGAGACTGGTGTTGCTGAAACCAAATTTGAAAGGAGCATACATTAAAAACTAACTTTTTTACAAAGTTAAACTTTAATGTTATTCCTGTAATATAAAAACTATCCGGTTCTGAGGATTAGCAAACTGGCACTGTGGTGTTAGCACTGTAGCCTAAAAATAAGAAACAAGAGTGATGCAGTTTCATTTATTATTATACTATTTTTATTCCCTGTTAACTATGATAAAAAAAATATGCAAATAGCAATATGTTTTGCATTTAATTTCCTCAGATCATCTTAGGCCCTTGACTTTGGCGTATCATGACCAACAGCAGGGTCCCTAACTTCCACTTTGTTTAAACTCCAGTCTGTATGAAAATTTTAATCTTCTGATAAATAAAGCCAATATGGAAGTGCCTTAAGCATGAATGATTTTGAATGTCCTGTAGGACTCGAGGTACTCCGAGTGACTGAAAGAATGAGATTGCAGATTCAGGCGGTTGAAATGAGTTTCCTCCGCAGGGTAGATGGACTCTCCCTTAGAGAAAGGGTGAGAAGTTCAGTTATCCGGGATAGACTCGGAGTAAAACCACTGCTCCTCCACATCGAGAGGAGCCAGTTGAGGTGGTTCGGGCATCTGGTAAGAATGCCCCCTGGACGCCTCCCTATAGGTGCTCTGGGCATGTCTGGAGGAGACCCCGGGGAAGACCCAGGACACGCTGGAGAGACTATGTCTCTCGGTTGGCCTGGGAACGTCTTGGAATTCCCCCAGAAGAGCTGGAAGAGGTGCTGTGGAAAGAGATGTCTGGGCTTCCCTGCTCAAGCTGCTGCCCCTGCGACCCGACTTCGGAATAAACGGAAGATAATGGATGGATGGATAGATGGATGGATGGAAGTACACATCATTTGCAAAAAGAAAATAATCACCTTAAGTATAATTAGTTTATAACGTGGGCACAAAAATAACTGACACACTCCTAACTGTTGGTTGAAGTGTAAAATCAGATGTCATAAATAAATTATGGATTCCAAATGGTTCCAACTTGTACAGCAGACTTTTTTCCAATTACGTTTTTACAATAAGTTGGCAAAATGAAAGGCAAATGAAGCATTTATTGCCTACGCTGTTGGAATTTCTAGCATTACTGAAATATTGAATGTTAGGTTATATTAGTTACTTTCTGGCAACAGAAAAAAAAGCTTTGCAGAGAGTGGTGAAGGCTGCACAGAAGTCTGTTGGAGTCAGCCTCCCCACCATCACAGACATTTACACCTCCAGATGCAGGAAGATGGCCACCTGCATCATGAAGGACCCCACTCACCCAGCACACAGACTTTTTGCACTGCTCCCCTCAGGCAGGAGGTTGAGAAGCATTAAGTGTAGAACCACTAGACTGAGGAACAACTTCTACCCTGAAGCTGCTAGACTCATGAATCTCTAACCAGGATGATCACTGAAAAAAGTCACTGCAATGCCACTTTATATGTGATATGTGATTTATCTGTGCTACTGATTATCTCATGCTGCTGATCTCATGCTGCTGTGTTCATGCATCTCACTACAGACTCATGCTCGGGCTGCTGTTTGGTATAGTTTTACATTACCTGATGGATAAACTACTCACACTAGAACTAAGCCCCTCCATTTGCAACTGGGTACTACACTTCTTAACAGACCACAGTCAGTGAGGATCCACAACTTCTCCTCCTCCACCATAACCTTCAGCACCGGCTCTCCTCAGGGATGTGTGTTGAGCCCTCTCCTGTTTACTCTGCTCACATGATTGTGCAGCTACCCATCCAGGCTGTCACATTGTAAAGTTTGCAAACGATACAGCGGTGGTAGGATGAATCACAAACAATGATGAGTCCAGCTACAGGCAGGAGATGGAACACCTGGAGAGCTGGTGCAAAGAGAATAACCTTCACATCATTGTGAAGAAGACAAAGGAGATGACTGTGGACTTCAGAAGAAACAAACACACCTACACCCCCCCTGAACATAAGAGGATCTGCGGTGGAAGTGGTCTCCAGCTACAAGTACTTGGGTGTACACATGAATGACAACCTCAGTTGGAGCAACAACACCACCAACCTGATCAAGAAAGCTCATCAGAGACTTTACTTCCTCAAGCGGCTGAGATGAGCTGGTCTGGGAAGCTCAGTCCTCACCTCCTTCTACAGGTGTGCAGTGGAGAGCATCCTGTGCTCCAGCATCAACGTGTGGCATGGAGGCTGCACAGCTGCAGAAAGAAAAGCTTTGCAGAGAGTGGTGAAGGCTGCACAGAAGTCTGTTGGAGTCAGCCTCCCCACCATCACAGACATCTACACCTCCAGATGCAGGAAGAGGGTCACCAGCATCATGAAGGACCCCACTCACCCAGCACACACACTTTTTGCCCCGCTCCCCTCAGGGAAGAGGTTGAGGAGCATTAAGTGTAGAATCACTAGACTGAGGAACAGCTTCTACCCTGAGGCTGTTAGACTCATGAATCTCTAACCAGAACTATCACTGTGAAGAATCACATCATGTTGCTGCTGATCTGTTTTATGTTGCTGCTGATCTGTTTCATGTTGATGTGTTCATGCGTGCTCATCTGCTCACACAGACTCATGTTTGTGCTGCTGTTCGACCTAATGTTTTTATGGTTAGTGTATATTTAGTTGATGTTTTTTCTTAGTTCATATCTTAGATGTTATCATTGTTTTTCTTTTACATTTTTATTGTTGGATGTAACTGGGACCCATGTGTACATAATTTTGTCCCCCCACATGTACCACATGTGGTGCGAACGACAATAACGAATCTCTGACTCTCTGACTCTGACTCTGACATTATTAGTGTTTAGTGTATATCTCAGATCCTTGTATAGTGTTTCTTTTTATACTTTATATTTTGCTATTTTCGGGTGTAACTGGGACCTTGAGTATGTACACAATTTTGTTCCACCTCATGAACAACATGTGATGTGAATGACAATAAAAATACTTGAACTTGAACATGATACAGTCACATTTACGAAGTACAAAAATAGTTATATCTTTTAAAAATCTAATCAACATCAGCAACACACCTGAAACAGGCTTTCTGCATAGAAATTAGGTCACACGTGCAATATTAAATGGCCCTAAAATGACACAGAGCCATCAAGACACTGAGCATGGTTGATTATTTTTATTGTAAGGCTGCTATAAATCCTGCTGACACAGAAAAGTACATGTTATGTGTCACTTAAATATGTGAGGGCGGGGACGAAGTAATTATATCTCCCTGATACTTGGTCAATAAATACTATTCAGGATGGACGTTTTTGTTGACAATGATGATCTCAGGTAATTAACGAGGACACCCCAAATCAAAACAGATAATGTTTGAAGTTGCAGCTTTCTATAACTCCAACCCATTTGCAGAGAATTAGGGGAGTTCATGTAATTCATCAAAGCACCCACGAGCCACTCGGGGGTGTGACTTCAGTCATTGGTGTCTATATATTGAGATGTTTTGTCCGCGGGCTGTATGTGAATGAGAAGCTGACCAGTGGAAACTCTCCACAGCTCCTCCTCTCCTCTCCTGCAGCCTCCCTGACTGTGATGGCTTCTCGTTTCGTGGCACTGTGCGCGGCTTTCCTCGTGGCATCGTTCGGCCGCAGGTCAGGTGCGGTCGGAGCGGTTGTCAGATGTGAGCCCTGCGACGCGGCGGCGCGGCTCCTCTGCAAGCCTTTACCCCGGGACTGCGCCGAGAAGGTGCGCGAGCCGGGCTGCGGCTGCTGCCTGACGTGCGCGCTGAGCTTCGGCCAGCCGTGCGGAGTGTACACAGGCAGATGCGGTCCCGGACTCACCTGCCAGCCCCAGCCAGGTGAGACCAAGCCTCTGCAGGCTCTGATCGAGGGGCGCGGGGTGTGCATGAACGCCACGAGCAGGAGACCCGCAGCCAGACCCACACCTCCCGTCAATGAGTTGCCAGGTATGGTTGCACTTTGGACATGCGTCCATCGGGAAATTTGCATTTGTGTGTTATAAATCGTGCATGGAGTTTCATCACACTCATGACAAAGGGGCTTTCCTTAACCTTCAGTCAAGTCCTTTTTTAGTCTTAAACCTGATTTTTACGTTCAGGTGCAGGGGTCTGCAACTTTTTTTAATAACAATACCCATTTCTGCCCCATTGCTCACTATATAAAATGTGTTCAGAACCGCAAAGCCTACAGCTGTGATTACCAATTGGTGGCTCATGGGCCACTGTGAATTCATTGGAGTTTTGTTTTGGGGCCAATGATAAATAATGAATTTTAACATTTGAAGATATTTTTCACATTTTGGGACAAAAGATAAATGGCATGGTCTGTACTTACATAGCACCCTTTTATCTTATCAAGATACTCAAAGCACTTTATACTACAATCTGTGCCTCATTTACCCATTCATACAGCACTTTACTAGATCTATACAAAGTATAATCAATACTTTATCACATTCATACACTGATGGGACACACATCAGAGGCAATGAGGGGTTCAGTGTCTTGCTTAGGGACGCTTCAGCATGTGACTGCTGATGGAATGGAACCCCCAACTCTTGCATTGGAGGACGACTGCTCTAACCACTCAGCCACAGCTGCCCCAAAAAGACCATATTCATGCAAAGAATGAAATATACCATTTTTGATTAAAAAAAAAAAATGTCAATACTAAACTTTGCAGGTCTATGTGAGTTTTTTAACTTATGGCAAATATAATTCAGTATCCCACTTTTTGTAGTTAAAATGGCATAAATTTAACACATGTAAAGTGATTCAATTGATTGTTGGTTTTGGTCAAAGCCACAACAGTTGAACCAAAGAGCTGCAGGTTGCAGACCCCTTCTCTAAGGCAACTGTGAACCACTTCAAATATTGTGAATTTTAGATTTTAGTCCTCAGAGACACAGTGTAAAATATTTAATAATTTGTGGTATTGTTTGTTTTCTTCGTATAGTTTGATAATAGTTCACAAATTATCTAAAAAAATAAGAAAGATCATGTCTTAAACTGCAAAAATCCTTATGTTTTGGGGACTAAATCCACTGTTGTAAATTTTCAGCAGAACATACAGAGACTCAGGACAAGGAGCAGAATTCCACCAACTCAAGTCTTCAAACTTCATACAACAGTCACGCTGGACCACTTAGACCTCCATATCCCCCCTACTTCTCCTCCACAAAGTCAGACGTCCTCAGACAGGAACCACAGAAGAAAACCCAGAGCTTTAAAATGGAGGATCTCCCCGGACCACTCATCACAGACCAACAAAACTTTGCTCTCGAAACCAAACAGGAGCCTGAATATGTGAGTACCACAAACATTTTTATGTCATCCAAACACACGAAAGGAATGTTTTTCTCCTCTTCTCTGTGTTTTGGTGTTTTTCCTCCCGCTTGTGGGTGATGAAATGTTTTGGATAGCGGTGGCGACGGTTGGCAGGGACCTGGTGCAGTAGAGTGACATGGCAGCGAGCATGTACCACGGCCCTGCGGCTGACCTGGGTCAGGCGGTTGTTTGGCCACAAGGCGTCCGCGTGCCGGGTGCACTGAGAGCCAGCGGATGATGGATTGGCTGATGCGAGTGCCTGTTGGGAAGCACTGCTGCTATTTTGATCTGTCTTTGGCCTGAGAAGTGAGCACACTCTAGTAATGGCTGTGCCTGGCTACTGTGATTAGTGACTGGAGTACTTGGACTTGAGGACAAGCCTTTTGGCTCCATCATTGAGCCGTTTGAGTTCAATTTGTTCCCCATTCATTGTGTTAAGACTTCTAAGCAGCTATGCAAAAGGTTAAGCCTCTGCAAGTTAGATGAAATGATTCCTGATCCGCCACCTCTTTCATATCGCCGCCATCATTATTAAGGTATTACAGCAGGGCAGTGTGTTCTGCAGCGTGAGGCAGCTTTAGCTTCTTCACAGAAATGTCAAAATTACGCTAAATGAAACCAGTGGTGCTAAGAGCACAACTTGCAGTTGCATTTCTCAAAGTTAGCGCTTTAGACGTGCAAAAGTAAAACTAGATTATGTGTTTACTCCTTTTTCTATAGGGACCCTGTCGAAGAGAGATTGAGAACATTCTCAGCAGCCTGAAAATAAGCAACATCCTCAACCCCAGAGGTTTCCGCATACCAAACTGCGACAAGAAGGGATTTTATAAGAAAAAACAGGTATGACAAAAGCTTATTCTTGCATTGCTATTCAATAAATTGAGAATGAATACCCAAGCCAGTGACTCAAACATTAGGGCTCCTGCAACCCAATTACAGCTTTGTTGCTGTCTCATGTATTCATCAGTAGTTATTAAAGCTTTGTCACTGTACCGCACTAGTGAGGCAGACCTTAGCCACTGGTTCTGGAAACAGGAACCACAGGGGCCAAACCCCAGCAGTGCTGAAGGCTGGGACGGCGGCTGCCTTGCCTCCCCTCCCAGGGAGACAGACGTCAAGGTGGCCGCTGGCACCCCACGAGCTCGCCCCATAATTGCTGGACTTTTGAGAGGCAGACACAGAAATAGAGCTGCAGCCATCCCCACCTCAACATGGTTCACCCACGATTGGGTTGTAATAAATGAGTGGTTCTGACGCATTCACATGAGAGCGCTCGGGGCTCCCACTCAACTGAATCACCGAGATTGTTTATCTTATTGCATATCAAACACTCCCGTTTGACCTGCAATCATCGTATTAGCAGCACTGCAACACCAGACTCATTTATCACGTCTAGCTCAAGGCACCAAATGCCAGCCGTTTAATTTTTGACATATGCGTGAATTTGATTAAAAAAGGCACCTTTCTTGACACTAAAATCTTTTTTTTTTAATAAAGGATGGAAATTAGCTTAAATTAGGATTTTATGTTGGTACATTGTCATCAGGATTTGAAATATTTGGGTTTTAATTCTCCTTTTCCAAATTCAGACTTTTAAAAATCCAAACGCGTAATGGTATTCAAATATTTACTCACTGTACGTGCTTTGTTATTGAGATCTCATATGAGTACGATTTTCATCATCCTCTCTAATAACTCTTGTCTGAAGAATTGTGCTAAATAGGGATGTCCTTCCTCCTGATCAGCCCTAACCCCTCCGTGGAGCGGCGGTGCCTTAGCTCTTGAAATGAATGGCTGCATGTTTTACTGAAGTGGAGGCTGACCTTTAGTAAAATTGGCAGTAAAATAACAGCCCTTGGGTAGCTCCACAGACTCTGTAAGTCATTTGTAGTACCCATAATTTGGAGCTGTGGGGTATAATCAGCAACAGATGATTCGTTCTGGCCACCAGCTTCTGAAAATAGATCTTGGTTCACAGTTGCTCACAAATGGGACTAAGTAAATATTTTACCAGGTTTCTGTTTACCTTAAAGTTCCCTATATGTGTCTGTAACTGGAGGTAGACCGTAAAAAGCAGCTCAAAATACCACAGCATGTCGGATGGCCAAGACTTCGTCAACTCAGCACAATCTAGCCATTAATGCCTCCTAAATGCTTCATTGACAAAAGTGGCTCGTTGCTTAAAATACCGCTCGTTCAGCTGATTGCTTTAATTTCATTTGTCTGCGCTATCGCCCTCATCCGTCGTCAACTTGTGCCCTTGTGTACTTCCAGTGCCGTCCATCCAAGGGCAGGAAGCGTGGCTTCTGTTGGTGCGTGGACAAATACGGGCAGCCTTTGCCAGGATTTGATGAGAAGGCGCGAGGAGACATCCAGCACTACAGCTTCCCAAGCCGGTCGGAGTGAAGAAGAATGGGAGGGAGGGAGGTTGCAAGCGAACAAGAAGAATTGTAAACAAACACTGAGGATACTGGAGGCGAGGTCAAAAGATGGCTCAGTTGATATATGGATGTTTGCTATTTCTGTCTGTTGCCTGCGGGACATTTTCCCCCCCGAGGCAGAGCATGGAGAGCAGAGGAGGTTTATCAGGAGAACAAGCTTGGAATTTGATGCTGCGGACAGACTCTTTATAAGCTGTTTTATTTCTGACTCCAACTGGAGAGCTTCTGGTAAAATGATAAGCTTAAGTAACTAATTTCCGAAGCCTTAAAGTGATGACGAAAAAACACAAAAGACACATCACAACAAGTGATAAGTGTTCCTACATTTACGCACAAATAGATGGCATTGCATAGGCATAACCAATAACTCAATGCTTGTGATTTGTTACACAAACATTGCGTGCGGCTGTGATGAGATGCGTAGTTCTGTGCAACATGCAGTGCCTTACTATGAATTCCTATTTGTATGAATTTTATTGTTGCTTCCTGCTTTACAGGTAGTCGGATGTGATTGTGCAGCTTAAACAGCACCATGTATTTAAAGTGTTTATGTGGGGTTTGAAGCCACAGTGAGGAAAAAGAGACATTTTACTCTGTGCTGTGGCCAATTTGATGTCACTTTGCAACAGCTGAATACTTGAGATTAAAGGCCTTTGCCATATATTCTTGATTTTTTATTTGTGTTACCAGTGGTATTGTTCTGTACTTGTCAGATTTTGATATGTTTGCATGTACAATCCAGCACTCAAAGTCTATTTTTTACCTAATAAAGGCAGTAAAAATGACCCATGCATTTATTTTTATTTTCCAATCACTACAGTAAACACAATAACATGTTTTTTTTTTATGAAATTTTTATTCACTATCATTCACAATTAAAACATACACCATGGTTTAGCTCTATGAATGTCTCACATCACTTTTTATTAAATAGCATTCACAGAAAATTCAGTCCACATGAACAAAACAGCAATCAAAAGCAAAAACAAATAAATAATAGATGTTATACAAGATCATATTTAATGAGTAGACCTGCAGAGGTAGAAAAAATGCTAACCGGTCTATCCGTTACCTCACAACGGCTTGGATAGCTCTGATATGTTTGTGTTTAAATGAAATCGCGAGATCCCAAAACCTCTGGATTAGACTTTATGGACATATAGACCTGATGTTTTTAACACTGGAGTTACATATTATATCAGAAAGACACAT